TGATATTACTTCGATTTTCCCAGATAACTGTTTGCATATGATGATCAGATAACCCCGGATCAAAATTATTAAGAATTAAGCTATCTCTACTGATGTTGGTTAATACATAATCTATACTACTAATAGTTTCACGACTACCCAGATGTCCAATTCTTGTAGGTTCATTAAACAGAGAGATAAGTCCATACGATTCGAACATGTCATATAACATCATGGTATTTATTGTTTTTGTCAAACTGTCCATGTTGAAGTCACCACATATAAATACATTGTCATAGGTTTCTGTCACTTTAGCTAGAATAATGGAAAGTTGCATGAGGAATATATTCACATTACCATTTGGCGATCTATAGATACAAAGTATAGCCGTATTTCTTTCATATGAGATAGCAGAGCATTCGAATGACAATTCAATTGATGAATCACATATATATTCTAGATTTCGACATTTCTCGATAATATTATTCTTTGCGAAAATAATCGACCCTCCGTGCTTGTGTTCTTCTCTACAGTATTTACTTACTTCCTGATACCCTACAATATCATTAAATTGTTCTTTACTTGCCCAATGCTCAGTGAGGCAAAGAAATGTTGGATCGATTTCGGTCATATGATGCTCAATTAAATTAATTTTGTTTGACAGACACTGTACGTTAAGATTGATAATTTTCTTGACCGAGTTATGACTTGGTAAAGTTTCGCCTGTTTCAAATATATTCGAACTAATCACACTTGCAGGTATCACTTCATAGGGATGAGCTGCAAGTGAATTGATCTCGAAAAAACTGCATTGTATCATTCGTGGTTATTTCAATAATGGACATATTGACAGTTTTCAAAGTGAAGTTATGTTTGTTATTTAAAATAAATGTAAGAGTTCTTTTCAGTTTTTCGATAACTTCAAACTTACTGCCTTTCTGTTCTTGGCCAGCTATGAAAGATAAGGAACAATTTTTGTTAGATCGTTTGAAGTGCTTAATACGATTGTATATAATATTATTGATATGTTTATCACCAATGGAATGGCGTTCTGTAATAATTATCACGTTAGTGAATTTTCCAATACCTAGGACATTTTTTAAAAAAATATTCAAAGAATTTCTATTGTTAACATTATAGGGTGTTCAAAATGGAGATCTTTCAACTTCAAGATTTTTTTGTGTCGAAACTATTCATTATTGGTCAGAACGGCTTCTATGTCCCTATCTCAACTTTTGATTCACTATCTACTGACATTTAATTGGAACATTTACAGGGTGGTTCAAGATTCAGAATTCTGATCACCCCGTATCTGTTCCTATCATAAAATGTCAGTAGATAGTAAATCAAAAGTTAAGATACGCACATGAAAGCCGTTTTGACCGATAATGAACAGTTTCGTCACAAAAAAATTCTAAAGTTGAAAAATCTCGATTTTGAACACCCTATATCTCTGTAATCATTCTCGCTAGACCCCAAGTGTGATGCATTGATCAGATCAGCTCTTCATGGAGAATCAAAAATACAATGAAAAATAGGGTGTTCCATTAAAAAAAAATCAAATAGTACCCTGTAGATCATTTGTTCAGAGCACCCTGTATTTTTTGATGTAGCGGAAAAAAACTTTATCGAAAATCATTTGAGATGATATTTCGAATTTTGAAATCTGTACAAAAATAACTGAGCTAGAGGGGGGGACATTTATGGTGAATCAACCTGTACCTGTTGTGATATTGTTGAAATAACATTGTGATAATGTCCTTCTGAAGTATCCAACATAATATTATGAAGTAAAACGTTCATGAGACGTTGCATCAATATTGAAATCAATATAATTAGATAATAATGTAATGTGTTAATTTTAGCTTCCTCAGATATATCTCTGACGTTACAAAAATGACATAAAGAGTTTTTATGTTATTTGTGCAACGTTTTTGTTTCACCACCTTAAAACGGAGCTTACATGTATACAAGAGGATAATTTCTTTCATCGTCGACCTCAACAAAAAACTACATTTTACGTTCTGATTTCCGAACGAAAAGCCGACCATTTCCGAAGACACCAACTTGTCCTGCGCAAACACTTTTCGTCCGCTGCAGGGTTGCCAGTTCTACTAAATTTCTTAGTAGATTTCCTGATTTGCACATTGATCTACTAATCTAATGAAACATTTCATAACCTACTGAAAAATATCTCGACAATTACTTATTATTATAATTACCTATAGTTGGTTAGTTAGTTATATTTTTTTTATTTGACGTGTTGTGATTAATATCACAACACGTCTCAAAAAAATCAACATGCCCACATCTAATGCAATTATTTATTGATTTATTTATTCATTGTTTCAAAATGTTATAGATATTGAAATGAATTATATATTGTATTGTTACATTTTTACCATACTAATCGATCTAATTGTTTGAATTGTTTTCACCCTAATCTAATATTTTTACCATACCTATCGATCTAATTGTTTAATTGTTTTTTACACTGATTCTATCGTACTCCTACTGCCAATTAATGTTCATGCCTGTTGAATTGAGTCTATGTACCCCTCATCAGAAATCTATGTCAAACATGTACCACGCACAAGCTGTAAATCTCAGTTTCTGTGGTCTCTCCGTTTATTCACCGAATCCACTAATATGAAGATAAATATATATAATTGAACTATAATTGAGATGAATAAACATTATCATAATCACATGCACTTATAAATTACATGATATTTCTGCATGCTCTGTTTGAATTAATTTTACAAAATAAGTAATGAATTTACTTATGATATGAATAAACCAAGAAAGGACAATATGACTTTATCTGTTTCAGAACCAAATAAATTTGTTATATGCCTCTTTTTGTTTGTTTCTAACGTTTGATTTTTTTATTTGTTTTGTATTTTTCTTGATGTTTATTCTCACTATTCGTTCCTGTCTTTTATATCCTCAAATCTCATAAGTATCTATGTTACTGCATTTTGTGATATTTGTGAGTATTTTTGAATTGAGAATTAGGAATACGATTATTTTTGTTAGAGAATGTTTTTTTTTGTTTGCTTCTATTTTGTTGGCAATAGGTTACTTTTCTGTTTACTAAAAGTACATAGGTTTATTTTGTTATCCTTTCTTGGAATTCTTATAGCATAAAATTGATCTTAAACACTTCTATTTTTTATGTTCTGGTTCCCACGAAAAGGGATATCCTGTGATATTCAGAGAACATCGTGACAACCAAGGGAATTTTTTTTAACGCTTGGAGCGCACGAAAGGGAATCCCTATAGTGTTCAAAGAACATCGTGCGTTCCTAAGGAGGATAGGGATAGGAGGTAGGTATTGGAATTTTTTTGAACTTCTGGAGATTATATGTTGTTGGGAATACTTCCTCAGGCAATGAATTCCAGAGCCTAGCCGTTCTATGGATGAATGAGTTTTGATAAAGTGCTGCTCGACATCTTTCGAGGTTGACAACGAAAGGATGTGCTGACTGGGCTTGTCTAGTTCGTCTGATTGGTATTGCTAGTGAAGGGATGATAGCAGAGATTTCCGAAGAACATTTTCCGTGGAAGTATCTATAGAAAATAGAAAGGTCGCCTAGTTTTCTTCGGTATTTCAATGATGTCAAAGAGTGAGTGTGGCGTCACCCACCAGGCGGATGGCTCTTCTCTGGATGGAATCTAAGAGCATCAACGTAAATTTTGGTGCTATATGTGGGAACAGTATTCTAGAACAGGCCGTATCTGCGCTTTGTAGAACATGAGGAGCTGTTGAGGTGTAAAGTAGCTTTTTGCACGGAACATGAATCCGAGTTTTTGTGAAGCAGCTTTTGCGATGGATCAGACATGATTATCCCATGAAAGAGTGTGTCTGATGGAAATACCGAGCATAAATATGGTGGGCTTGCTGGGGATGGTGGTGCCAGACATTACAATGTCGGGCATACTGAGTTCCGCCTTTCTAGAGGAAATACAGGCTTGAGTTTTGGTGGCGTTGAATTCAACGAGGTTGTTGGTTCCCCAGGCTGTGACTTCAGCGAGGTCTTCATTGACAGCATTGACCTGCCTGTGCCGTGACTTCTTAGTTTCCTGGGAAGAATTGGGAATTCTGGAAGAGAACGCAGTATGGAGGGTACTATCATCTGCAAAGCTGTGGATGGGGCAAGTTGTTACTCCCAACAGATCATTGATATGAAGAAGGAATAATGTTGGTGCCAAAATTGATTCTTGTGGAACGACGGAATTGATGCCAATTGTATCAGACGATACACCGTCCAACACCACATGAAGCGATCTGCCTGAATAAGGTAGGAATTGGTGTTCTCCTTGAATTTCTGGAGGTTATATGCCTTGGGGAACACCTCCAGAGCCTCACTGTTCGTTGGATGAACAAGTCTTCGGAAGGAGATGTTCTGCAGCGAGGTCTCCAAAGTGACCACGAAGCCTCAACTCGATGGGTTAATCTCGCGTGGACTGCCAAGGGAGGAACAATTGATGATATTTAAGAAGAGCATCGTCCATGAAAATATCTATAAAATAGAGCCAGATCGCCAACTTTTCTACGGTGCTCCAGAGAAGTGAGTGAGTTTGTGAGCGAGGCATCACCCACTAGACGAATTGCCCTTCTTGGACAGAATCCAACAGTTTCAGGGTATGTTTGGGTGCTGCACTCCAAATATGGGAGCAGTATCCCAGGACAGGTCGAATCTGTGCCTTATATATAGATCATAAGCAGCTGACTGAAAGTGAAATAGCTCCTGGCCCGAAACAGAAAATAAAGTTTATGGGATGCACTTTTAGCAATTGATCTCACGTGATTTTCCCAAGAAAGGTTATTGCTGATAGTAATACCAAGCATCGAAACCTACTGCTATATAGTACATCAAAAGAGTTTGGATAAACAGTCTGAATTATAATCCTTGACAGTTATGTCATCCGCTGTTGACGGCGATTACGCGATCATGACGCTGTTTTGTGGCGCCAATGATGTTCTAGTCATTTCTCTCACCTGAAAGCTGTTGAACAGGTAGTAGAAGCACCACGTGATGATGACGTTGTAGTAGAGAGCGACGAAGAAGGTGACGACGCACGAGGAGATGCCGATGCCTCCCAGCCAGGGGTGGATGGTGTTCCAGACGCCCAGAGAGCCCAGTCTCATCTTCTGGCCGATGCCCAGCTCGATCAGGAACAGCGGGATGCCTTCCAGGATCAGCATCACCGCGAACGGGATCAGAAACGCTCCTGTAAAAATAATGAAACATTCAGTGCTGCACGGAATGAAAGTTTTGTTGCACTAACAAAATGATTTTGGTAATATTTTTTTTGTTAAATTGAACAAAATTTTGCGAAATCAGCAAAATATATGATCATTCCAAATAAGCAACCTATTCAAAGAGACAAAATAATCTGATTGGAATATTTTCATAAAATTCCTGAACATGAATTGGTGGGTTGATTAAACGGCATATTTTTCAAATTTCATTCCTTTATAACTTTTTTATTGATTGACGCATTCCAACGTAATTTACATGTTACCCATTTGAAAATGTCACGAATCCAGTGGTGTAGTCAGATTTTTTCTGAAAAAAATCGCTAGTAATTTTTTTAGATTTTTGACCTTGAAAAATCAGATAAGTTGGCCCTGGAAATGGAGATTTATTCATGATATTTGGTGTCCTAATAGACTTTTTGAATATCTACCTCACAGAAAAAAAATCATTCGAATCGGTTGAAAAATGTAAGTTTTATAAGGGTGCTTCCATCTTAAATGGGTCACACTGTATGTGATATATATCCGGGAAAATTACGGAAAAAAGTAATTCATGAAAAGTGACAGTTTATAACCTGCCAACAGAGATGAAATGCCAAACTTTGCCCGTCATAGAAAAAATATATATTTTTGATGTAACTGATATTATACTGTTTATTAATTAGGAACATTCCTAATTTGAACAAGCTGCTTTCATGAAATAATCATGCATCTGGTTGATTCAACAAAAAATTGGTCGGCCCAACAAAAATAATTCAAGCATAAATAATTTGTTGATGCAACAAATCCTTTTTTTTTTCGTGAACTCTCTGAATGACACTGTATACAAAAACGTCGAAACAATCTGCAATAGACACTAACCTCCGCCGTTCTGTTGACACAAATACGGGAACCTCCAGATATTACCCAAGCCGACCGAGTACCCAATAATGGACAGGAAGAACTGCAGCTTGCCCGACCATGCTGCCCTGTCCGGATCCAGATCGTCGGGCGGCTGCATGCTGCCCCTGGAAATACAGTTGGGAAAATTTCACTTTCATTTATGGAATTGGATTTCGATTGGAAATTTCATGGAATATGTAGTGATTTGCACAATCGTGTTTCTCAGTGTAGATTAGCAATCAGCGAAGACCATATCGTTCGGTGTGGAAAATAGTTTTTGTCGGGTTTTTTGTGATCTGACAATTGTTGATCTGCACCTGGTGTAGCTTTTAGATTGTCCGGTTAAGTCCAGTCTAGTGTGTAACGCCAAATGAAAATATATACAGGGTGGGGCATTAGTGCGTCGGAGCTCGATTGCTCGAGTTCTATGATAGCTAAAAACCTGATTCAAAAACGAATGTGAATGAGATAACAAGGTCCATAACTAAAAATCATTGCCGCATATACAGGGCGCACCGAAAATAATCTAGAGGGTCGGGATCAATTTTCTTAATCAAAATGCCCAGCAGTATATTTGCATATTTTTTGAAGCATCTCTGTGATCTTCATCCACTCCTATAATATCGTTGACTATATCTCTTTCGTATCAAAGTTATGAATTTTTTGGTCGAAATAATGTCATCGAAAATATCACAAATGTCACAATTATGAACTTTAAGGAAAAATAATCTCAATATCATTCATTGAAAAGATGAGTGACATTTTTGAAGATGTTTCAGGCTCTCGAATGATACAGGTTGGCTGAAAATGATTTTTCAATTCGTAACTTTTCGAAGTGATTTTTCTCGAGTTTTTCAAATGGAACACCCCATATATTATTTGACCATCGAAACACGAACATATTTATTCGAACATTTATTGAAACATCAAGAGTTCAATCAACAATTTAGTAAACCAATTTTTTATTGAAAGAATCGATGTTAGAACCAAAGCAGACATGAATAGGTCATAATTATGCTAAATATTTACAAAGTAGAGACGGAAAAAAAATCATTTCTCTATTATTTTGGTTTTGCTTTCAATGTGCCATGAATTTATGGGATACTTGAGAAATGCAAATTTTGTCTCTTTTTACTTTGTGAATAACTAGCATAATATGAACTTTTTTTGTTTGCTTCGATTCTGGTATCGATTCTTTCATTGAAAAATTTGGTTCACTAAATTGATAATTGGACTTTTGATGTTTTAATGACAGATAAGAATCTGAATCGATCAAAATCGCCAACTTATAATTTTCAAAGCTCAATATAATTCAAAAATGGTTATGAATATCGATATGGATGTTCAGATAAATATGTTAGTGTTTCGATTTTACATCAAATTGGTCAAAAAATATATGGGGTGTTCCATTTGAAAAACTCGTGAAAAATCACTTCGAAAAGTTCCGAATTGAAAAATCATTTTCAGCCACCCTGTATCATTCGAGGGCCTGAAACATTTTCAGAAATGTTACTCATCTTTTCAATAAATGATATGGAGATTATTTTCTCTTGAATTCATAATTGTGACAACAGTGATATTTTCGGTAGGCATCTGCAGATGACATTATTTCGACAAAAAAATTCATAACTTTGATATGACCGCGATATAGTCAACTCATAGAAGTGGATGGAGGTCACAGGGATGCTTAAAAAAATGCGACAATAATTTCTTGTTATGGACCTTGTTGTCTCATTCACATTCGTTTTTAAATCAGGTTTCTAGCTATCATAGATGTCGAGCAATCGAGCTCCGACGCACTAATGCCCCACCCTGTATATGGGTCATTGGAATCGAAGGAGTTTTCAATTCAATCCTAATAGGAAAAGTTAAGCAAACATTACAGAATACACTTCGTCAGAAAATTAACGCACCACTAAAAATCATCCAATAGTTTCAGATACATTTTCGTCGTAACTACTTGTCCGATTTGGATGATTCTTAGATACTGTCTGTAGGCTAATCGAGGAGGTGGTACATTCATTATTCCAGATCTTTTGGGATGTTCTCCCTCGTTTCTATGAAATGAAAATATGAATATCATATAACTGGGTGACTAGTTATATTCTGACCCATTTCAAATGCTTATATCTCTGAAACCATTCAAGTTATCGTTGTGCAGTTTGGACTAGTCGATTTTGATATTTTCCAAGTTTTTTTTGACAGGTTCACCTTCTCTCTTGAACTTCCGGTTCTATCGGAAACAAACTAGCCATTATTCAGGTATAGGGCAAATTTTTTATTTAATCGAAGCACCCTGTATATTTTTGCACATTCAGAAAGACTGGTATTTCCTCTTCCTAACAATGCATAACAAGTTATGTTTTCTTAGAAAACTATCAGAGTTATAACTCTTTGAAGCATCTACTGCATATTAGGATGTTATCCTGAAATGCTGAATTACTGTATATTGAGTATAAATCTGATGCAGATTTATGATGAGTTCATTTGCTTTTTCAGTCAGAGTAAACATTTTTTCAACTCGAAGAAAGTACAAATGCTCGACAATCTTTATTTGACACATCTAATGTGGCATTTCATGTGTTGTGACCAGGATTTCCAAAGACGACTCTGGTTACATTGCAAAATCTCATTAAACCATTCCACATGCAGTAGTTGTTTCAAACAGTTATAACTCTGCTAGTTTTCTAAGAAAACATAACTTGTTATGCATTGTTAGAAAGAGAAAAGACCAGTCTTTCTGGATGTATAAAAATATACAGGGTGATTCAATGAAACAAAAAAGTTGCCCTATTCCTGAATAATGGCTAGTTTGTTTCCGGTAGAACCGTATGTTCAAGAGAGGAGGTGAACCTTTCAAAAAAAACTTGAAAAATATCAAAATAGACTAGTCCAAACTGCACAACGATAACTTGAATGGTTTCAGAGGTATAAGCATTTGAAATGGGTCAGAATATAACTGGTCACCCGGTATTATATAATATACGTGTAGTAAGGACAAATCAGATGATTTGCCCCAAAATGTAACTAAGTTTGAAGAATTTCTCTATTGGAGAGCCTAGAAGGGAAATTCACTAGCTTGTCAGTGACAATTTGTATTGAAAAAGATTTGGACAAGAGAAATAAAGGTAAATAGAAAAAATATCAAATTCTCACTTCTGAACAAGAAGCAATGCTATTGTCTCCGTTCAGAAGAATACAAGCAGATTCCTTGATTTTGCTCTTCTGGTTGTTATCTACTTTTCCAATGATTTTAATATTCTTCCAGCACTGATATATCAGAGGAGGGCTGTTCTTGGCAACATAATTTTAAGGCCAGAGGACGTCAAAAAGATTCAGCTGAGGAAGTCACTATTTGGCGATACGTCGAATAAATGGTGACGTCAGCTTTTATGCTGTTTCGTTATTCATCAGATAATCTTCCATTATCACTCACGAAGCAAGGTTGTCAAGTCACCAAGAGTCTTGTCGTTGAATAATGCATGATAAAAGGAACCCATGATATTATAGTTCATTCCTGACTCTTTCGAGCAACCAGCATGTCCAAATATACTCTATACTCCATAACAACATTTCATGTAAATTTTCATTCGGAAATCTTGAACGCTACCTGGAGATGATGGACCCGCGCAGGCCCTGCAGCCCAGGGCCATCAAAAACAAGGCGATGATTTTTACTATATTTGATTGAATGATTGATCACTGTTATTTTGATCACTTATGCTTAATATCGAAATACATTTCATCATATTTTTTTCTATTACAACATCAAAAAACAAAAGATAGGAAAGGTTCTGTAACATTTCTCTAGATATGCGAATATATCTGATATAGGCTTTTTCGAGATTTTGAGAGAACTACGAGGCCTAGAGACTCCGCCTTGAGCTCAATTTGAAGCTGATAGAACGGCCTACAACTTTTAATCCATTAGTTCTACTCGTGGTATCAATGGTTTAGCCGCAATTTTGGTCTAAAGCAGGTCAAGAACTGAAACTTTCACTTTCTGAAAAAAATTGCCTATATTCAAAGTACCGTAGTTTCGTTACTAATGAACCTACAGAGGTCTGTTCAAATTCAAATTGTTGAACATTCAATGTTCTTCAAAAACGGATGGAGTTTTTTTTGACGAAAAATGCATAGCTTAAGAGATATAGAGCAAAAACTGAAGAAAGTCCGAAAATTTCGCAGTTTTTCGTGTGCTTTTTGAGAGTTGCAAACTTGGGTATACAGTGTGTCCCACTTACCATGCTCACCATGGGTATCTTTTTAACGGTGGGAGATACGAGGTCGGTTAAATGACACCAAATGTGGAGTTTGTCAGGGCCAACTATAATGAGGAAAAATATTTTGATAAAATCTATTGGGTTTTGTTTTATACGCAAAAAACAGATTTTGATCATTTTCATGTCTCCTCCGTAACTTCTTTATTCATGAAAATATTCAAATAGGAATTTCACATTCTCCTGGCAGTTTTTCAAAGTGATTTCGAAAAAAATATGAAATTCATACCAACTCTTCTAGAATTTGAGATATCAGCACCAACTTAGGTTTTTCAAATGTAGGTCATAGCTCACTATGACTTGGTTACAAATAACTTTTTTTTCTCTTTCAGATGATATGTCGCAGTAATAGTTTTGTGTTGATAACAACGGAGTTATCGTCATTTATACAAGAACAAAAAATTATTTGGAAGCCGCCATCTTGAATTTATAGATTTCAACAATAAAATCATGATCTCCGACCTCAAAAACCCCCACTTACCAATTTTGAATGAAATCGGACCAAATCTTGTCCGCCATCTTGGAGCAGCCATTTTTTTAAATTTCAACAAAAATTCCATAACTCCGATCAACTTGAAATTTGGCAGGTGTTCATAATTTCGGTGACAATACATTATAGAATTTTTGTTGAGATTAAAAAAAATGGCTGCTCCAAGATGGCGGACAAGATTTGGTCCGATTTCATTCAAAATTGGTAAGTGGGTGTTTTTGAAGTCGGAGATCATGTTTTTTTTGATAAAATTCATAAATTCAAGATGGCGGCTTCCAAATAATTTTTTGTTTTTGTGTAAATGACGATAACTCCGTTGTTATCAACACAAAACAATTACTGCGACATA